GTTTTGAGTTGATTAGCTGATTGGCATGTCACCATATTCTAATTTGTTGAGATAGTGAATTGGTGGGTTTTTGTTAAATGTGAGCCAAAATCATCACAATTAAAAGAACCAAAGACTTAGACTACTTCAGTCTGTGTGCATTGAATTTATTTAATACACGAGTTTCACAATTTGAGTTGAATTACTGAAATAAATGAACATTTCCACGACATTCTAATTTATTGAGATGCACCTGTATATTTAGTTAACAGATTATTTGAAAAGAACATTCTTCTATAGAATTATTATACTAATAGAAATCACACTAACATCCTTGAAGTAATTACATTCAGTTACATTCATAAAAATAAGAATGTGGAAACTAAAACTACGTACCTTTCTCCTTGTATGCGCTGGACCGTCATCATCCTCCTCTTCTTCATCTGTTTGTTTGCAGAGTGTTGTTCGTCAAAGTTTAGACCAGCGTTACCATTCTAGACTCACATAACTACTTAGATCAAAGATCAAAAACATCTAGTTGATTTTTTAGCTTTAGGTGGAGCATAACAAAAGTTTTCTGGCAAATCAGCAGCCTCGCATGCAAATTTAAACTTTTGCAAGTGTCATTATGAACTTGCTAACTAAAATACTAAAATGCAAAAACGCATCCATGCTTACGAGAAATATTTAATCAAAAGAATCCCATACATCCCCATCTCTTGGTAAATAATCCATTGTGATTTGCTGTTATCACAGCCCATAGCTCAGCACAGCAGATTGACGGAATTGCAATTCGGTCCTACAAATGGCGGCTGCACCACTGTGTGACGTCACATGAAACCTATGAATATTTAGGGCTGCTTCATCATAGTTGCTGGTTCTTTTGACTCATATTGACTCACGTGAGCCACCTGCTGGTGCGTTAGCAAATAACACCCGTCTACAATTATTCGCCTCAAACGCGGGATGAGACGCTGCTACTAGGGATGTTCATTTCGGTTATTTTTCCTAACCGACAACCGACGCTCGTGATTTGTTTCCCGGGGATTACTTTTACATGAGGATTCACATGGTCTTCATATCACATCACGGTCCTGCAGCGCTTCTGCCAGCGGAGAAAAACATAATAAAGCTAGGCTATATAACGAATAAATAGGCCTATATGAGAAACATATTTTACTTTAATAAATTAAGAAAATGAAAGAAAAACTGTGCAACAAGTAGCATATATGCAGCGTTTCGGTTCATTTTTGTGCTGCGCGAAAGGAAACCAGACGGCAGAAAGCGGCATCCTATTTTTCTTTAGGCTTATTTTACAAAAGCACAAAGATTTGTTTTTATTGTGAATGTACACAAATAAAGGCAAACCTTTTACAATTCCGATTATCTTTAGGACTAAAAGGAGTAGTTGTTTCCACTGTTAGAAGGAAAAAACCCAAGTGATTGCGCCGGCGCCGCATGCGTGCACACAGTTAAGCATTGCTACCTTGACATTGCAGCCTGTTCATTATCATAATAAAATACAGTCAGTCAAACATATGGAAAAAAAAACTATGTAGTAAAAAATATATAGTGAAATCTGTGCCGTTAAGTGTTATCACAGTACCGCCGTTATGTTATGCAAAACATTTTGTTTTACGTGGATATTGGAACGCGAGTTAAGTGCATAATAAATAATAATTTGTCATTCAAATACATCGCGAATATGGAAACATTTGATTTTGTGTGGAATGAGAGACCCAACGTTGGTTTCAGTTTCGTTTTAACCTAAATTAATTAGATTTGGCTTGTCGTTGATATTTGTCACGTTGCACACACACGAGGGACGAGGAGACGCTGGAGAATACTTTACCAAGACTTTATTTGCACCAAGGAACCAAGGGAGACGAACACAGGAAGACGTTCACAGGAAGACGTACAACAGCAGACAGAGAACTTGGGACTGGGAACACATTTTATACACACACACA